GCAGCCCTGCCCGTGGGCCCCGGTGCACCCTCCGCCTGATGCCCGCAGGAGGGGCCCGTCCCCGGGACCACCTTCGTGTTCACCTTCGCACTCACGCCTCCACCCGGCTGTGACTTAGAGGACGGGCTGTTCGGGGCTGTTTCCTGGCTGTGATCCACGGCACCCAGAACTCTGGCGAGTGTGCGCCGTGGGCGACCACGTGGGGGGGGTGTGCACGCGTGTGCACGCGTGTGCACAGGCATATTAATCAGGAAGTCCTCGCACATTTTGGAATTTCCCAGGGTTGATTCTTGGACACAGGAGGCCCGGAGTTTTAAGATGTGTGCTATGCATTTCCAAATTCCTTGGCTCAATACTGAATTTATCAGTGTTTGTTGTTGTTTGTTGTTGTTCATCCTCACCCAAGGCTATTTTTTCCCATTGATTTTAGAGAGAGAGGAAGGGAAGGGGAGGGGAGGGGAAGGGAGAGAAACATCGATGTGAGAGAGACACATCAATGGTTGCCTGCCACACGCACCCCCACGGGGCCAGGGAACCTGCCACCGCGGTGCCTGCCCTTTACCCGGAATCGAACCCGTCACCTTTGCTGCACAAGTCGACGCTCTAACCACTGAGCCACTGGCCAGGGCTGAGGCTGTTCGTTTTTATGTAAATTGCAAAGTGGGGCGTTTGCTGGAGCCTTAGGACAAAATAGAAATGGAAATAAGAGAGAAAGGAGTCCTTTCCCTGCTCCTCTCTCCGCCCACTTTCCCCGCCTCCACGGAAACCACCGTGAGGTTTGCTAACCTCCTGGCACCTTCTCTGGGCAGGTGCCTGTGGTCATTTGGCGTCGACGTCCTTCGTTGTGGCTGATACTTTTATAAAAGTGGAATCACACGGGACACACTGTTGTTACGTTTTTCTCAATAATAACAGACCAGCTCCTGCCCCTGGGCTTCCCTGCTCTTCACCCCAAGTGTCTTCCTTACCTGCTCAGGCCAGGCTGGACCCGCTGCAGGCGTCCTGTCACTCAGGGCGGCCCCGCCGTGGGAGGCCTCCCCGTCTGCCGCCTCCTTAGGGAAGCTGTCTTCTCACCGCCTGTCCCATCTCGCCCCCGGCAGCTCTCCCTCAGTTCACCGTGACCCCGCAGGACAGAGCTGTGATCGAGGGTCAGACCGTTGATTTCCAGTGCGAGGCCAAGGGGTACCCACAGCCCGTCATCGCCTGGACGAAAGGAGGTAGGGCGCACACCTGGTCTCCAGCCGTCACCACCTCCCTCCCTCGGAACACTGACTCGAAGCCAGCTGTGTCTTTCTCTGGCCCCCAAGCCCCAGGCTTCTGAGCGGGGCTGAGCGATGGGTGACCCCAACATGGCCCGGGGGTCTTGCCTTTAATATACACTAATTAGGGTTGAATGAAATTGAATAACAGGGAAGATGAGCTGGAAGACCACAGTGGAATATATATTTTTAAAGTTTTGCTCTCGGCTTAGTCCCAGAGTTCTGCCACTTCCCGCCCTGTACTGCGTGTTGGTTGCGTGGATTCTCTGGGTGGGGCCCAGCCCTCGGTCTCCCGCTGGCCCAGGGGTGACGGCA